TTTTTTTTACAGTGTAGGATGTCCCGAATGTCTAGAGAGCTGGTCGAAAGTGTAAAATGTGAATTTGCTTCCAAACAGAACCAGCAGCGGTGTTGGTTCACGTGACAGATGACTCTTATTCATGTCATGAACCCTGTAATGTTCCTCTCACACTCTGCAGGCAGCACAAACAGACGACAGCTTGAAGACCGCTGACACTGTGGTGTCTGTCACCGTTGAGGATGTGAATGACAACGTTCCAGAGTTCGATCAGCCCACTTACTCTGAAACACTTCTGGAAAACTCTCCTGCCGGTGCTGTTCTGTTTAAAGCTGTTGTCACTGATCTGGACCAGGTACGTAGTTATCACCTCACGCAGGCTATTCAGGGATGGATCCTGTCACTTAAAGCTTGTAATTGTGATTTATTATTTACATCATTTCAATGAATCTCCTCCAATTCGTGTTTCTGTTTTCCAGGGAGGGTTTGTGGGAACCCTGGAGATCCTTCCAGAATCTGCTCCTTTCTCTATCAGCGCTGATGGGACGGTCAGAGTGAAAGACTCCAAGGCTTTGGACAGGGAGGCCACTGAAAGCATCACATTTGAGGTCAGATAGATAGAAAGATAGACAGATGAGCAATTTGGTTCTTTTTAAAGACATAGTGCTTTGAAATAGACTACTGATTTTTTTGTAAATGAGGTCAGTAATTTTCTAAAACAGCTGGCCACATCATTCAAACAGGGGAAACAGGGCATGTGTTGTGGTGGCATGTGGGACTGTGTCAAAAACATGAAGAGATATGCCACTCAGTGCTATAGTACAGCTTACTCTATAATGCTGAGGAATGTTGGCGATGGAATAAAGTTAGAGAGCCTCAATAAACTATTCTTAATTGTATATTTTAGAATCCAATCCTAATTCACAGTACTTGCTCCTGTCAGAATATTAGAGCAGCTCTCAAACCAGGTAACGGCTCAGTGTTGCGTTCAAAGGAAAACAAATTAGATAGATGAAAACCGATTTTAGCCACATGAGAGAACTATAGCTGTTTTCTAACTGTGGGGGACAGTGCTGCATCCGGATTAGAATGCTCACTTTGTTGGTCTTGTTTTGTCAATTTAAAGATTAAAGCAACGGAGCAGAATCCACCCAACAACGCTGCAACGGCATCGGTTACCGTGACTCTGTTGGACGAGAACGACAACAGCCCCACATTCACCAGCAGCACGTACGAGGGGAAAGTGTTCGCCAATCAGACGGCGGGACTGTTGCTGGTCCAGGTGAGTGACGACACGCTTCGGTTCAATATTACTGACATGTGTACCACGTTTCTTTTTTTAAAAATCACATTTGTGTGATATTCTGATAGAAATGGATTCATATGAAACAGCCTTTCTTAGTTTCATTATACCTGGCATGACAGTTGGAAGTTGGTTCATTTTGATGAAAACTCCTTGTTTTCAGTTAAAGTTGTCATTAAGGAATTAGGCAATTTACGAGGGACTTCCTGAAGTGTTGTCTGTGAAGATTCTCAGTCATCCAGGTCGTGGTTATTCTCATAGATTAATTGTAGCAACTGGACTTGCGTGAGTTCCTTGAAGACATTCCACCTCTCATCCAAGAGGCTTCATCAGTTCTGACTGATGAGTTCCAGATATCCTTAAGGATCCATTAACACCTGAGTTTGGGTTTCAGTTGGGGGTTTGTTGCTCCTCCTCCTCGTTATGTGGGTCGTTACTGCTCCTCCTGCCACAGTGGGGTTCGTTAGGGTCTTTTGTGTCTAGGTGTGGATGTGGGTTCATCTTCCTGGGGAGAGATCTTAGGACTGAATTGTAAACAGGTGAGAGGTGATGCCTCAGACCTCCACCTCTGTTGAGTGATGGTCTTTCCAGTTTGACATAGATGGCTTCTTTCACCCCTCTCTTGAAACCCAAACTCAGGTGTTAATGGCTCCTTAAGGATATCAGTATGTGGAACTCCCAACTAGTCAGTTAGAACTGATGAAGCCTCTTGGATGAGAGGTGGAACGTCTTCAAGGAACTCAAGCAAATCCAGTTGCTACGATTAATCTACGAGAATTCCCTGAAGTGTTGATTTTAATTCCCCTTCTCTTGTCGAATGGCGACATGTTTCGTGGAGACACACCCTCCACTGCTATGCTGATGACGCACTGCTAGAGTTATCCTGGAACCATGACTTTTATGACTTTACAAGTCACGTCGTAATTAAATGCTTCCATGACTAAGATTTGACTCATTGTGATGTTGTCACTGAGAACTTGTTGCTACGTCCTTTTCATTCGATGTTTTAAGAAGTGCTGCTGAGACGGTGATTGTATCTGCTGATTTCTATCCTGTAACTCAAAGGTCGCGGCGGTGGATCCAGACGCTGGTGTGAATGGACAAATCAGATACTCCATTGGCTTTGGGAACAATGAAGGCTACTTCTCGATCGATGAAAACACCGGAGAGATCTCACTGGCTAAGACCATCCCCCTGGAGCAGAACAAGATCTTGGAGTTCCCTCTCCACATAACAGCCACAGACGGTACATCCAAATAGTATTTTTCCAGCATATTCTATGGATTGGCAGAATCAGTGATTCAAAAGTCCCTACCCCGACTCTGATGATTTATCCTGTTAGAGGTGTCTGTGAAGATTCTCAATCATCCAGGTCATGGTTGTTCTTGTGGATTAATCGTAGCAACTGGTCTTGCTTGAGTTCCTTGAAGACGTTCCACCTCTCATCCAAGAGGCTTCATCAGTCCTGACTGACTAATTGGGAGTTCCACATACTTATATCTTTAAGGAGTGTGTAGCACATTCACACCGAGCCACAAAGACCCTAACGAACCCCACTGCTTCAGGGGGAGCACTAACGACTCACATAACGAGGGGGAGGAGCAACAAACCCCCGATTGAAATCGAAACTCAGGCGTTAGTGACTCCTTAAGGATATCAGTATGTGGAACTCCCAACTTGTCAGTCAGAGCTGATGAAGCCTCTTGGATGAGAGGTGGAACGTCTTCAAGGAACTCAAGCAAGTCCAGTTGCTACAATTAATCCACAAGAATATCCTGTTAGAGGAAATTAGCTGATCATCCCTAACTCACAACTTTTAAAGTAATGAGCATGATTTTTTTTTTGGCTTGTTTATGACACAAACCATTAATCCAGTCCTGCAGGAAATGTTAATATTTTTCAACTTAGTGTCTGTATCAACTGGCAGAATGTGTTTGTTGAGCTGTTGGCTAAAACCTTCAGCTGTTCACCTCAGTCTGTGACGTCGCATCAGGCACTTCACCTTTGACAGATCATAAACTTGTTATCACGCCCATAAAGGACTGGTGATGTCTTATCACCTTGTTTGTTACTGCAATACTGAGATCATAGAAACAATTACAAGGTTTTACAACTCTGACCCCTAAGACTGAATTGAATTGAGTGCCAGAAATGCCACCTGAGCATACACTGTGGAAGCGTTGCAGTGCAGCCAGGAGGATGATATGATGTTCACAAGCTTGGACGATATATTGTACAAGCCAATTTGTTGTTGTTGTTGTTGTTTTTGTTTGTTTTTTCATAATTTAATGCAAAAACCTACATATGGTCTATATTCTTAACCTATAAAGACAAATATTTCAAGCCCCTATTTTGTTTTATTTTGATGAACATGGTTTATTTCTCATTAAAATCAGAAATCCAGTATCTTACAAATTTAGAATATTTCATTTTGAGTTTGAGTAAATTACTCTTTAAACAGTATGAATATTGTGTATCTCTCATTCTGGATAGTCCAGTATTAGTTTCCAGCAAGACGTAGCACCAAATTCCTATCAAATGATTTGATGACCATGATACTGATATTGGTTGATTGGTCCATGAACTCAACTGACAAGAAGATTTTTTTATTTATTTATTTTATTTTTTTTTACATTTTTTAAATGTAATTCAAATTTTTTGAGCTGCACATACCAACTAAGATGGGGAGAACTGTAGCTGCATTATTCTTTTAAAGTAGACTGGCTGCCCCTTAAATGCATGCAACTGCCTGGAACTGCAGAGACTTTGGTAAAAAAAAAAAAAAAACTTATCACACTCAGTCGTCATAATATCCTTCTCCACCTTTCCTCCAGGGGGCGTCATATCCCGCTCCTCTTCAGCACAGGTGCTAATTCTTGCTCCCGGTGATTCAAAACCTCAGTTTTTGCAAAAAATCTACCATGGCACCATAGAAGAAGAGCAAGACCCAGGAGTGGTGATTCTTAAGGTAGGTTTCTATGAACTGATATATTTTTAACAGCCACCTGTTCAAAGGACATCAGATGTGGATTTATACTGAAGTTCTTGCTGTTGTTTAAATATTCCAGATAGCTTCAGATTTCCTGATAGTTGTCAGTAAATTCAGTTTACCATCCTGCCATTTGTCTGTGTCTTTTCAGGTAAACTTCCTTGCGCTAGACACTGGGATTCCTCTGACCCTCCAAGTTGACACAGAGGCCGACAAGTTTGCCATCTCCTCCACTGGTGAATTCACTACGAAGATGAAACTCGACTACGACGACGCTCC